GTCCTACCGATTGATTGCATGAATCCGATCTTCTTGCATTATTCTAGAAATTTCAGGTATATTTCTATCAGCTGATCCTATTGCAGAAGGAACTCCGATGAGAAATCAGAGAAATAACCAAATTTCAAAAATGAAAACTATGTGAGTGACTATAGTTCTAAAAAAAAAATTGTTCTAAAATAGTAGGTACTTACTTTTGAATCATAATGTACCATCCGGATTTCTCCATCTTCCGCTGCAGTTTTTGTGCATTTTACAACAGCACAATGTGATGGCATTAGCGAATTGATGAATAGCGGAAAAATACGATTCATATGCCAAAATGATTGTGGCAAACTATTTCGATCACTTGTAAACAAATATGTTTTGCCTCCAGGGTCGGTCATCTGACAGTTCTTGCACGCGACCTATATTCGGGCATGATATTATGTTTCATTCAACGACAGGACTCTTACATCTTTTTGATAACTTGATTATAATTGGTGACTTGACAACCTTGCTTCGTGAGTGGGAATGGAAGATTATCTGACCAATAACGAAACAGCATAAAAGCTGACGTCACCATTTATACGACGTATCGCCAAATGGTGGCCATGACGGTACGTTTGAAATGAGCTCTGAAATTCAACAATTTCGAACAACGCATGCACTCATTATTTACATAAAAAAGTGCGAGAAGAAATTAATTTCGGTCCCTAACGACACAGTGTAGTAAGTGAATGCCAATAAGTCCACTCGCCCACAATAACTTATTCCGAAGAAAGATTATTCATGAATTTCATAAAGCGTTTTTCAACGAATATTCGGGGCATTTTTTCATAAATATATTTCAGGGATCACCCCACAAATTTTTCATCAATGTTTAGAAAACACCCTGTATAATTAATCATAAGTGTAGGTATTTATTAATATATGTACAGTGGAGCCCATTAAATTGGTAACGACTCGTGTGAAAATCCTTTTAAAATTTCGGTTTATGCGCCCGGACTAATATCTATTCCAACCGCCCGCTGTTTCAATAACCAATTTCTTATTGTGGTTTGTGGTACGAGATAGTCTGGTGTATCTCTGAATATTTTCTAAGATTTGGGGTAAATATTCACATCGCTAGAATATCTCTGGATTCGATGGTATTTCTAATAATGAAATAAGAACTAATTCTCATCAGCATGCGCGATAAGAAAACGGTATACACCCTATTATCTTGAAACGCGATTATCTACTTCCGGAAATTCTAATTTTTAAGTATTATACTTAGGCTTCGATAGACCGTGCAGATAAATTTGGAGTACAGGGTGATTGATTAGTTTGATGAAGTTCAGTTTCTCTTATCTCCTATATTCACAAAAATATTACTTTGATTCAGAACAGTGTCCTGTCACCCTGTAATACTGTGGATGATTCAAGACATCAAGACTATCCATTGCTGAAATCTCTCAAATTGACAATTTGATATCTCAAACGACATAGGAGATACTGCACTTTATCACACTAATCAATCACCCGGCTTATTGATATTCTTTTCTGATTGGAGAGAAAGTTCTAGATCAATTACTAGATTATTTTTTCCATTTTTAAAATCACTATAGTATTGAGTGTAATTTCTGGAAAATCTGTATAAACAATTTGTCTGCTACCTTCATTCAAGGCGTTTATTGATAGTTTGTCATTGTCACTTAGTCATTCGCAATAATTTTCATGATGTCATTTTTTATATGAGCTTCACTGCTCGTATTAGATTTATTCTTGATGGAAAAAACGAGGAAATATATCACAAATTTACTCAATCTAGATAACACAAATTTATTAAATGTCTCATAAGTAATATGTATATAGTAGGGGTCGCCTTTCTTGTAACTTCTTTATTTTACGTATTACAAAAACTGTTGAATGCATAAGCTGTGGGGATTGATTCAATCTATTCTATAGGGGCATCTGAAATATTATTGCATTCTTGGATTTTACGTTGAATGTAGAGAAAGTATGATATATATTTTTATATCACAGAAGTTGATAGTTTTGGGATCATAAATAATAATTAATAATTGATATTTCGGCTATTTTTGTACCAGTTCAAGTGAGGAAACATTTGGAATAGTTATATATAGTATTATGAAAATACCAAATTCGAATGACCTATGAGATGTTTGTGATGCAGAATTTTCACAAAGTTGATTATTCCTCATGAATATAGCCATTTTCATTTGTCACTATAAACCTACCATACTTATTTTATTTTCTGAGCAGTCATCGCTCCGAAAAATACGATGTTTTTGCGGTTTCCAACTGCACACACTGTAATTAGGTTTGTAAATTCTAGCAAAAATCAGCAAATCTCATGAGGAATGTTGTCCGAGGAGAATGTGTTTATGATTATATTCATTTCAATAAATGATAATATTGATAATCAAAGTATCAAACGTGAGTAGGACGCTGTCGTAGAATTAAAATCAAAATTCGTAACGAAACGTAATATTTTAATCTCTTGGAACGTACGAACCTATATTATATTTATGAAATATCGTATGCATGTATATACCATTGAAATTATAATAAAACGATATTCAATTCGTTCTATATGAACAGTGCATGTATCTACAATTCTTCATCTCTATTTGATATCAATTTGTGTAGTTTCCGAGATCTATTTGTCTATAATATTGGATCTACACCAAACAGACAAAACAGCAACACGAGAGAATTTCTTGTCGATATCAACAAAATTACTACTTTTCAGAGACATTTTAGAAACATTTTGAAAACAGGAGTCGCAGGCGACAGTTTTTGTTGTTTTCGGAGTCCCAGTCGAAGGCAGTTAAAAGGGAAAAAGGGTTTTTGTACGACTACGGACAAAGTCGGCTGGGGGAAAATAGGTCTCGACCAGGGCCTACCACGTATCTTGTTTTTTGCAGTTTGTAGTTTGTGCACATTGTGTGTTTATGGTTAGTCTATCTATTTATTTATTCATTATGCGATTGAATATATACCTACCAATATCTTTCAGAATATGACTGAAAAAAATAAAAAGTGGAAAACAGAAGAGGTCGGCATTTTGATTGAAGCTTACCTCGAACATGCTAATTTATGGAACCTCAGCAAAAACATGGGCTATGAAAACCGAAATGTAAAAATGGATGCGTACAAGCATAGATTAACGACTCTAATCTATGGTACAAGGAAATTGGTTCCTCATTCAACACAACTACACCCGAAAAGATCATATTGTCTCAGTACCAACGCGAAAAACGGAACTATGAAAAAATTCAAAAATCGGGAGCCGGTCATGTCCTTTTTCAGAGAATTCATAATAAACCCTCCACCCCCAGATGTGATGAAGAAATCTGCCCAGTGGAAATGAGTGAAAACTGAAATGGAACTAGAAATCTGTTTGAGTCCGTTCAGTTGCAACAACGTTTCTGATATGTAGCTGCTTGGAGTTTCCATTTTTGGAAACAAAACAGCGCCTCGACGTGTCTGTTTGGTGCAAATCCGCCATAAATACTTGAATTCGTGAAAAAATAATACATGTCGGTCTGTCGCTTGATACTTCCTGGAAATTAACAAACACTTGTGGAGCAATCCCTTCGAAAGCTTAACTCTAATTCATAGAGATTTGTGGTTTGTGATTCAATCTATGCCAAATCGATTGAGAAAAGTAAGTAATACTTCCATATTCATAATGGACCATCACACATTTTTTCATAATCTCGACTCATTTTCATTATTCCATGATATAAACCGTGATACATTTTTCAATTCATATTTTGAAGCGTTCACCATTGATATTTTTTCAAAATGTATTATTTTCAACAGTGACATTTGAACATTTTGATTGGAATTTCATTGCCAGATAGAGATTCTTTCAATTCTAATTTTTATATACAGTGTGTCCACTGCAAGAGCTCACCACCCCTGTTACTATAATAATATGATAGAATCTGAGAACAATGTATTTGTTGGATAGGTAATCGAAATGCCCATCCAACCAGAAAATGATTTTATTCTTGAACTGTTTTCATGGCCAACGGTGACCAATTTCATTGACCCAAATTTCAAAAAGTACTATGGGACAGTTTTTCACTAAAAATATCGATGGATTTTGCAGCAGGATCATTTAAAACATACCGGTACCTATTTTCATTATCTTAAAGCACAAGTTGCCCCAAAAAACGATTTATTATTTTTAAATTCTTCATCAGAAAATGTAGTATACTATGGCATTTCTGGGTGATGACAAATTATTATTGAGAACTACTGCAAACATATCTGTAAAATGTGGTGTTCTATCAGAAATAAGGGAATTCAATTTACTTCCCGTATTCGGAAGTGCGCTATGCCAGATTTACCCAAGATTTTTGAGAGATTCATTCAACTCATCATAATATTGAAAATGAATGGGTTACCTGAAGATACCTGAAATTATATAGTTTAGTACTATATCTTTATTATTTTATTAGAATTTTATCGATCGTTTTCTCCTTCATTTCGAGAAAAAAGTTCATGTGAACATATGCCCTGAAACTTGTTGTAGACAGTATATTGAAGTTATTATAATGAAATAATTTTTTCCAACACCCTATAGCTAGAGAGCTAAGAGGTTTAATCGAGGGTTTAATCAATCAATTGTGGATTGTTGAAATTTTCTTAAATCCCTTTATTTCAAGATTGGAGTCTTGTTATAATAATATTATATCGTTCTCATCAAAACTGAATCATTGTGAAGCAGTCCAGATCAATTCTTATTTATTTCATTGTAGTTGCCAAGAAAGAACTATGTCATTGTTATTCTTCAAGTTTGAATAATAACACCTCTGGGTATACTGCTGGGTATACCCTATATAATACCTTTACAGCGCGAAGCAGGTCATAAAATGCTTATGAGGGAGGCAGTTCGTTTCTAGCCAATGAATAGTACAAGTGCTTAGACAAAAATATTTCAATTCGCCCAAGAGTCGTTACCAATTTATTGGGCATCACTGTACATATAATCTGAATTATAGGTGGAAGAAAAAGAAAAGAGATGCTTTGGACAATATAAATGTCCAAAATGTGAGAGACGTTGGTCCAGTGGGAATACATGGCCTAACATGGGTCAGCAGTGCGAAAAATGTCTTATCTTTGTTTTACCATACAGTACGGTAAGTGCGAGGTGAAAAAAATAGTGATCTATGTATCTACAGGGTGTAGATTTGAAAACTTTCTGCGAATATCTCGCGAAATGAAAAAGTTAGAAAAACGCCGTTCGGCAAAAATGCTGGAGGGTTAGGGGGAACTAGAACCACCATATGTTAGTGAAGGGATGGGTCACCCCGTCGGCGCGACACACCCCAACTTTAAAATGTCAAATGGCATCACCTCTTTTGTTATACCTCAAATAAACGGCCTCAGTCAGTAGTATTCACCTGTTCAAGACTTTTTTACCACCCACTACAGGGTGTACGAAAAACATAAAGTCGAATAAAATAAAATATTTTATTTGATCAGATGTTCAAAATCCTTTCCATTCTGTTGTATACTCATAATCGATGTTCAAATGCATTTCTAACATTTTGGAACACATCTCTTGGAATAGATCTGCATTCTGCATTTTATTTTCTTCGACTTTATGTGTTCCGTGTGGTGACTCATCCCTTCACTGAAATATGGTGGTTCTAGTTCCCCCTAACTCTTTAGCATTTGTGCCAAACGGCGTTTTTCTAACTTCTTTATTTCGCGAGATATTCGCATTGGTTTTCAAATTAACACCTTGTATCTACGAAAGCCGAGACGAAAGCGTAGAAGCCCATACAATCAATGGTTGTCCGATGTATGTCCACAATGGACATTACGAATATCCATTGGACGTACAATTATATCTAGAGGGATATGCGATGGCTACCCATCGGATATCCATTTGCCACAAAAATGGGCATCCGATGGATGTCCATTTCGATCCAGGTGGTGGACATATCTTGGAAGTGAAAAAAACTTGGTGGCGTACGGGATTCGTACCCGCGATTTTTGGCTGGTACGCTACTCCACTGGTCATTATGTTTCTTGCGAACTTATGTTCAAAATATTTATACAGGGTAACTCACGGTCGATGGTACGTTAAACGTTTATGGAGAACAGGACATAGGATCATTCTGAAATTTTGGTTACTCACGTAAAATATGTTCAGCTCTACGGCGTTGCCGCTTCTATCGAAAAGTAGCAACAACTTTGTTATTTTAAATGGAACACTCTGTATTTCATTGCATTTTCAGATTCTCTCTGAAGAGCTAATTTCATCGATGTATCACACTTGGGGTCTAGCGGAAATGATTACAGAGATATAGGGTGTGAAAAATCGACATTTCTCAACTTCAGGAATTTTTTTTGTCGAAACTATTCATTATCAACTTTTGATTAACTATCTACTGATATTTAATTGGGACATATACCGGGTGATCAAGATTCTGAATTCTGCACCACCCTGAATTTGTTTCAATTAAATGTCAGTAGATAGTTGATCAAAAGTTGAGATAGGGACATGTGAGCCGTTTTGGCCAATAATGAATAGTTTCGACAAAAAAAACTCCTAAAGTTGAAAAATTACGATTTTTCACACCCTATATCTCTGTAATCATTTCCGCTAGACCCCAAGTGTGATACATCGATGAAATCAGCTCTTCAGAGAGAATCTGAAAATGAAATGAAACACAGGGTGTTCCATTTAAAATAACAAAGTTGTTGCTACTTTTCGATAGAAGCGGCAACGCCGCAGAGCTGAAAATATTATAGATTGATAGACCAAGAGAAAATTTCAAAATGATCCTATGTCCCGTTCTCCATAAACGTCTAACGTACCATCGACCGTGAGTTACCCTGTATAGAGGAAGAATAATCCTTATGGAAAATGAGATTACACATCAGCCTGATAAAAATTTCAAATACTGATTTATTTTTATGAAACTATACTGAATACTGACCCGTATATATTCATTACTCCGAATCAACATTTTATTCAGGAGGGCATATTCCACAGTTCATCTGCCAATAATATAGGTACCGCTCCAAAACTTTTGCTGCTTCCAAATTAGTTTTTTCTGCAATCAGCTCAAAAGTCACCCAGTTTTGTTTCAACATAAGCTCTTCAAGTTGACGTTTTTCTTACTGACACAATAAAATGATTAGTATGTATGTTGCTAGGAAAAACTTTTAGTGTCTAGAAGCTAAAATTGAAGTTTAACTCCTAGGAACTGAAACCGTGTAGGATGACAGCTAATATATGATAGCTGATTTGACACTGATATGATCAAGTGACTCAAAATAGTAGAAACTCACTTATATTTCATTAATTAGATACCTATCAATTATTTAGATTGCAGAAAAAATGGCATGTTTCATTCGGCTTGTCAAACAAAGCGTCACATTTGATCCTAATAAAACAATGTACTATTTTCTTTATATAACATATGAGATTAAAAATATGATAAACTGATATTCAAATGTAAAAAATAAATCGATTGGCAAATGGTATATATCGTGATGGTATATTTTGATTCGACCTAAAGATGTACGAAGGAAGTCCAATGAACGTCCATCATTCAGTTGAATCTTCACGTCCTGTATGGACGAAAACTGAATGTCCAGTGAATGTCCCTGAACGGATGGTCATTGCATGTGCTAGTGGTCAATGGATATCCATTTGGACCAAGCATGGACATTATATGGATATCCATAGGATATCCTGTGTTCACTGGGAGACATATTGTGAAGGAATTTTCTCAGATATGTTTATGAACACAAAAAAATGGATATATATATATAAAGAATAACATTGAGAATTCGCCTTCTCCATGTGATGAAAATATTAATTCTTTCTTGGTTTATTCAACAGAAAACAACTACTTTCCTGGCTATATGCCACGACGAACATTGAATTACATCTATTGAACACACACGATAAGAATTTGAAAACAAAATCTTCTGAAGTAGAGAATTTGCATTCTCCTTCATATAAAGATATGCACCTTATATCATTCTGAATATTCAACAGAAAACAACTACTTTCCTGGCTATATGCCACGTCGAACATTGAATTATATCTGTTGTATATCCAAAAAGAGAGCATGAAAAATCATAATCCTCTGAAATTGAGAATTGACATCTGAGAATTATAATTTGTTGACTTAACCACTGTCATCTGGGCAATTATTTTTCGATGTATGATAAATTGATATTCATCATACAGGACGTGGAAAGAAATTCTGAATTGAGAATACCTGATCACGAATCTGCGATTGAGGTCTATAAAAATAGCAAGTTTCCATCGTTCAAGTTTGAACCCCTTGATTGGGTGAAAGTATTGAAAAGGAATACATTGAGAATTCGCATTCTCCATGTGATGAAAATATTAATTCTTTCTTGGTTTATTCAATAGAAAACAACTACTTTCCTGGCTATATGCCACGAAGAACATTGAATTACATCTATCGAACACACACAATAAGAATTTGAAAACAAAATCTTCTGAAGTAGGGACTTTGCATTCTCCTTCATATAAAGATATGCACATAATATGATTCTGGATATTCAACAGGAAACAACTACTCTCCTGGCTATTTGCCACGTCGAACATTGAATTATATCTGTTGAAAGAAAAAAATAATAATAGACATAGTTGCAAGTACCAACTGTCTATTCAGACTAAATAGACAGTCGTTAAACGGTCTATTCTCATTTATCAATTGATAGGTACCTACTTGTGAAATTTTTATCTACAATAATATATGATCTCTTTCATTCGAAATCAATTTCATCAGTATTATCAACAGTAGTAATTACACGAGTGGGAGTAGGTCTCAATAGCAACAAACACGACTGCTGATCTAGTTAAAATTATAAAAAAATTACCACCACGAATGCAATCCGGCGTAATTAGTTTCTTAACTATTTCGCAAAATGCACAGCACAGCATTTCTGATTCGAATTTTTCCTTCAAATTCCATATTTGAATATCTTATATAGATATATAGATGCCACCAGTGGAATTATTTAGATCCACCCTTTCAGAGAGGTAGTTTATTCTTGCAGTTTTTCAAAAATCTTTGCTGACCGAGCATTTCTGGTTCGTATTTTTCCATCAAATCACATATTTGAATATCTCATATAGATATACAGATGCCACCGGTAAAATTATTTCGATCCACCCCTTCAGATGGGTAGTTTATTCCTGCAGTTTTTTTGCAAGTATACAGTTTATACCAAACTGACTAAGAGTATCTAGTCAAAATATAGTCATTAGTCAGCTTACCAAGACAGGGTATAAACGTGGCCAGTGGTATAGTAGACCAATCAGAGCGATTGCAATAGCGGTAAATTCAAATCAATGTTATTGACGGTAAATTCGAATAACGAATGTTTTCACTTAGTAATTAATAGTAGCCATTATAATATACCCTTATTAATTGGTGCAGGATCAGGTCTACTGAACATTTCCGGCCCAAAGCTTCGCTCACGGTTGCCCATCCTGAAAAAAAAAACATTGGAATTTTTTTTTTCAGGAAGGAAGGGAATATTCCTTCTGCATAAGAAAGGAGTCCACTTTTTTTAAACATTCTAACTTTACCTAGCCAAAATGAACCTCCTTCCTAAAAAGTATATTTTTTGGAAAAGCACTTGACAAATAAGAATTAAAATAAAAACCGACGGTCGAATCAATTGAACCCGGATCGCTGACGTGGAATATTCTAACACTCAACAACTGATCGACGGAGGTAATTGAAAATTATAGTATGAAGAAAGAACTTATTGCTATTATAATATGATGATTTGATCTTCATCATACATGTCGAGGAAATAAATTCTGAATTGAGAAAATCCATTTCTACGAATCTCGCATCAGAACAGTGCATTCGGGTTAATTATAACAGATGTGCCTATAGTCATCATTGACTAGTGGTTCATAAAATGACGAGAGTAAAAAAATACTTTACGCCTCGGAAAGGAGTAAAACATGATAGATTTTATAGTTAGTGGTGGAAAACATATTTTTCAACTTCTATTTCATTATTTTTGGTCAACCAAGAGAGATCCTCTTGACAAAGATGAAACTTTATCTATGTAATCGATATATGTGTTCCTCCATTGAATTACTACTTTACCGGTCATATCAACTCCTTAGATTTTGACAGGGTGAATCAAAGAATCGAAAATATCAAAATTTGCCATTGAATAACTAACACCTATATGATATATGAGTTCAAACGTTGTATGCGGGTTTCAAATAGGGAGGGTGTTGAGGGTTAAAACCGAAGACACTGAATATTAGTAGTTATAATTTATGATATATCATGACCACCAAAGGGGCGCCGTTGAGATGCTTGCCTAGGCCGCTGCGACATTTAATCCGCCTCTGGTCTAAATAGATAGTTCTATGTGTCTATTAAAAAAAATTTCAACGTGAGCCTTCTACGCTTTCGTATCATTGTCCTAGAAATAACATTTCAGTTCCTCTTCGTAATTTTTTCTGGCGACGCTCATGAAATTGAGCATTGTATTTGAATATTTCGATTGTTTCGACGAACATAAAAAAAAAGGATATTGTGATAGTGATTCACACGAGACCAACCAGACGAGACTTTCATAAAGTTTCGACTCGTCTCGCCGATGAAATATGAAGTCTTGTCTCGAGTCTCGTCTCGCAGCCCCGAGTCTCGTCTTGTCTCGCGTCTCGTACGAGAGTCTCGCAAATGTATCGCAATTTCGTCATGCATAATCTTGTTCCAGTCTAGTACGGATATATACCTTAACCTACTCTTTAGGTATAATGTAGAAGTAGGGAGAGAAAATTACAACAAAAATAACATTATTTATTGAAAAGTAGGTACCTACCTGATAGGTACATACTTACATCATACATCTAAACAAGGAAAAAACATATCATTATAAAAATAAAATAAAAAGTAACACGTATATTCTAAACAAATATACAGAACGAAAACTTCAATGCAACATTATTTTACTTATTCGAGAAATAGGTATCTAAGAAAACAGTTATTTGTTTTACTGGGCAGAAAAGTAGTCAATCTACATTTGCAGCCGTGTGAAACATAGAATTTTTTCTCCAAATGATATAGAACCAATTTTGTGTAATTTTTTTATTGAAAACTCCATCAATTTGTGTTCACCCAATGTCAGTGTCAATTTTGATTACTAATTTCATTAGAATTGCTTGGAACGTTGCATAGCAACAAACTTTTCTAGCCTAGGCAGTAGAAGCGGCAGGAAAAAGCCACTATCCCTGCCGCTGGAGAAAAAACCTTTATCAGTCAGATCAGCCTTCACGATCGCAAATGTTTTTGTTTTTCACCCAGTCGTTAAGATGAATGAAATTCTGAAGTCTGCAGTCGGCCCGCAGAAATATTTACCTGCGAGACTCTCGCACGAGACACGAGAAGTCTTGCACGAGATTCGAGGCGAGACCAATGAAAGTTTTGTCTCGTTTTGTCTGAGTCTCGTCTCGAGTCTTGTCTCGAAAACGAGACGAGACCATGCGAGACTCTCGAAAACTAGACTCTCGCGGGCACCACTAATTGTGAACTTGCCTTTAACCACTTAACGCATTGATAATTTTGTAGGTACCGCTGGAAAACTTCTTTGTCAAAAATGCATAGAACTCGGCTTCCATTGCGGGACTTACTCAAGGTAGCCGGTGGGACAACATCTATCTGTCTATATAGCATATTATGATTATTATTTTTATTCTGTGATTCGAGTTAATTTCCACAATCATTATTATAACCTTCCTTTTCAGTCAATTATTTTATAACTATGTATTCCTAGACATATTGAAATAAAATATTAGGTACCTACTCAAATATTTTCTATGTTCAAACGTGTAGTTAAGTGCCATCACCATAACCCGAGCCATAACCATATTTTACCTGCCAGGCCAACTTTTTTTTAATGGTTTTAACTCATTTATATGCGTCTTGTCACATTGCTATCCGAAATAATTCATTCTGAAGTATTCAAAGGTCGTGATTTTCGAAAAATTATTCAGCCGTCCCAAGGAACAGCCGAGGCTTCTTGACACAATTTTGTTGGTAAAGCTCCAGCGGTCCACGCGGCACTATGACGCGGCGGTTCTACATTATACAAGTTGAATGGTGAATTTTTTCGATGAGGAACCAGACAGGTAGTCATGTCTATTGTAAATTTGTTATTTTATGCACTTCAGGTATTTAATGGGTACCTTTATTATTCCCTATTGTGGTACGGATCCAAAGTTACTTTAAATCCCTAGGGATTCAATAGAAGCTAAATTTCAAAAAGGAATCTTCAAAATGTCTGTTGCAATTGTAGCTTTCATCATCGAATATACGCTCCACAATGACGATGCTTATTTAAGCTATTTCTTGACTTTTCCATCATCACATCAGAGAAGTTATCTGATACCATTGATGATAGCTCTCAATGTGATGTAATTTATACGGATTTTTCGAAGGCCTTCGATAGGCTGGACCATGGAATTCTACTTCACAACTTTTCGAACTTTGGACTAACTCCAAATCTCACATCATTTTTCCAATATTACCTTTTTGATAGAAAGCAGTATGCAAGCTTCCATGGTCATAGGTCCATTGAAGTCCTTCCTACGTCAGCTGTGCCCCAGGGGTCTAACCTCGGGCCCTTATTATTCATAATGTTCATCAATGGCATTGTGGATACTCTCACCATCAATCACCTATTATATGCCGATGATCTTAAGATATACCATGAAATTATCACCAAAGAAGATTGTACTGTTCTGCAAGAAGATCTTGACAGACTCAAAATGTCTTGTGCTTCGATCGAGAATAACTTATTCCTTAATGTCTTCAAATGTCATGTTATGTCCTTTACCGCCAAGCTGAATCCAATTATTCACAGATATAGACTAGACAATTTCGTACTGAACCGACCTGAAACTTCCTAAGATTAGAGTACTTATCAAAAAATTTTGGAAGAAATGAGAAAATGCTTCTGCAACTATATTTTACATTTGTTAGATCGAATTCAGAGTATTAATCAAGAGTTTGGGCACCACATTATCAGGTACATTTACTAATTTAGAAAATATCCAACGAACATTTTTGAAGTTCCTATGTTTTGAACTTGATGGCAACTCAATTTAATCCACAGATGCCTTCCATCCGCATCGCTGGAAGATAATAGCGTTGCACATGATTATGAGAATGCAAACACATTCGAGGTGTTATCATTTTCATTGAATGATCTGCACATTCCTCAAGACATCGCAGTCTGAATTCTATCTGGTTGAGCAAGCTGTTCGGATCCCCAGCTATGACCCTTTGGCGATGCTCTTGCAAGAAGCTCTTCACTTCTGACTTGAATGCACCCCATATATGTTCAATCTGATTCAACATAGGGCTCTCAAACACCGTTCATCCACTGTAAACAATCTTCTCTTTTGCAATTAAAAACATTTCAAACATATAAAAGGATCTCATCTTCTGAAATTGAACCTACCAATAATAATTCTGAAATACAACTTACCATTTCTGGAATTGAATGGACTTTTTCTGAAATTCATCTCACCGATTCTGAAATTGAGTTTACCATTTCTGAAATCGAACTAACCAATTCTGAAATCGAGATTACTTTTTCCGAAATATAACTCACCGATTCCGAAATTGAAGTTGAAATGGTATAGATCGTCGAAATAGGTCGCATGTTATATTCCTTTTCAATGTTATCCGGAACAATTTGGACTGCAGCTGCATTTTGGAGATGATACACTTTCATGTTCCCAGACTCACAACCCGGAGAAATAATACTTTCCACTTTCCACTTTGTCACATTGATGTTAAATTTCATGCACCTGTTAACAAGGTGTGTTCAACATATAATATGATGAATGAAACCATTGACATTTTCTGTTGCAGTTTGCCTCCATAAAAAAACTGGACTGTTCTGTTTTTTCCTTTGTTTAATTTTAATGTAATTTCAGTAATACACTTAGTATATTCCTATTCTGTAATTGGACCTTGTATCTGTTGAATAGTGTAATAAAAAAAAGGAATGTGCTAGCGGCAGTGGCGTAACCACCTAGGGGATAGACGGGGCAGTGCCCCGGGGCCCTCAAGCTCAGGGGGCCCTCCTCGAATCCCTACCATAAAATCACATTTTAACTGAACTTGTGAAAATTTGAAAATGTATCCTATTCTAAAAATAAATACACATATTTATACGAACTTTTCTTCTTATTTTGACGTTAGCAACATGCTCCTGGATTTTCAACACGTACTTAAGAAACACCCTGTATTTAGGTATTCGAAGTGCGATATCAACGAAATTTTGTTTAAATTGCGAAAAAGGTTGGAATCAATAGGACACACTCAGCAGAATGATAAGGGTAATGAATATTTTTCCTTGGTTTACCCAGTTCATGATATGAATAATTTACCACTGGAATGACTTTTCAACAAGCTATTCAATGAGGTATCATGAGTATTGGGGCTGTGACTATTGGGTTGGTGGGGGTGGTCTATATCATGAGACATTTTATTTTCCTCTTCGTATATTATAAAAACAGCTATGAGCAATTCGTGAATGTATATTTTTTTTTACATAAGCTACATGTCAATTCTATAAGCTTTCAAACTGTCATCACCCTATATACAGGGTGTCTGTAAAAGGCCTTTACAAAAACATACCACATATTCCCTAGACCAAAATAAGTCGATTCAAGTAAAATTACCTCAGTACAAAGTTGCATCGTTTGGGCTCCAGAAGGCCTTGAAGTTACAATTTTTAAATCGTTTTTCCCATATAAATTTGAAACGGCATTTGCGATTTTGCTGAAATTTGGTACCTATATTGATAGTTTTATGTGGCAAAAAAAGTGGTGTTAAAATTTTGTCCGATAATAATACATAGGCGTAGAACTTGATTTTTTAAATAATTGCACCTTTAAAAATTCTACGCCAATGGAAGAAAAGAAGTTTGAGTATGAAATTTAGATTGCGCAACTCATTTACTTTAAAAAAGGTACTCTTGATAAGACTCGATTGCTCTCACGGTTTTGACGAAATTTGCATTTCAGTAATTTTAGAACATAACCAATAATTGAACCCTATGCTGGAACAACGTTGTAACCGCCAATATCTATAAAAACGGTATTTCCAGGGAACAAGGCTGTATGCGACCTATACAATCCGCTGTCATGATCATCGTCCACCAAAGGAAATTTTTATGGTGATTTCTGGTATCATGTCGGTTAGTCAAGTTTGGAGAGTTTATGGAACAACGTTGTATGTGCTATCACGGCTTCTAGTTTCCCGTGCTCTTTCTTTGTTTACATGTGTTTGGTCTGTAGTTTATCATCGTTATAAGCAGAATGGACGTTTCTTTGAAAGACTCAGCTATGACACAACTAAATAATAATAAAAATTCTTTGCCTTTTTTCACTTGTGCTTCATTTTGGATCTTGAAACAACGTTGTAACCGCCTTAGTTCCCTGGAATAACGTTGTAACCGACGTGGATATATAACGTTGTTTGATTGAAAACAGAAATAATATATGCTCGTAAATCATAATTCTGTATGTGGTCAAGTCTATATTTTGCATATCATGCAGTCAAGTTCTTCCTTGCTAGTCATATCAGGCAAATATCTACTTCATTTGATGAAACTATCGAACACAATATATAGTTTTTTTCGATTTCCCAAAAAAAACATGTTTGGCGTTTACAACGTTGTACCAGCATAGGGTTCAATTATTATTAAAATACAAACTTTGTCAAAACCATGACAGTAACTCGAGTGTTATCAAGGGTACTTTTTTGTAGTAAATGAGTATCCAATCCAAATTTCATACTCAAACCCTTTTTCTGCCATTGGCGTAGAATTTTTGAAGGTGCAATTATTTAAAAAATCAAGTTCTACGCCTATGGCAGAAAAGGGGTTTGAGTATGAAATTTGGATTGGGTACTCATTTACTACAAAAAAAGTACCCTTGATAACACTCGAGTTACTTTCATGGTATTGACAAATATTGTATTTTAATAATTATTGTTCATGTTCTAAAATTACTTACTAAAATGCAAATTTCGTCAAAACCGTGAGAGCAATCGAGTCTTATCAAGAGTACCTTTTTTGAAGTAAATGAGTTGCGCAATCTAAATTTCATACTCAAACTCCTTTTCTTCCATTGGCGTAGAATTTTTAAAGGTGCAATTATTTAAAAAATCAAGTTCTACGCCTATGTATTATTATCGGACAAAATTTTGGCACCATTTACTCTATCAATATACCAAATTTCAGCAAAATTGCATATGCCGTTTCAAATTTATTTGGGAAAGACGATTTAAAAATTGTAACTTCAAGGCCCTCTGGAGCCCAAACGATGCAACTTTGTACTGAGGTAATTTTACTTAAATCGACTTATTTTGGTCTAGGGAATATGTGGTATGTTTTTGTAAAGACCTTTTACAGACACCCTGTATATGGCAAACCGTACATTGCATCAGAGGCGATCATATGAATCCTCATATTAATGATTAAGACCCAGAGTGTGTCAAATAATTGGATGATTCTAGGCGTCTGTTTTCCAGTTTTTAGAGATTGAGTAAAAATCAAAATTCTGATATTTTCAATATTTGTCTATTTCCGAGAATATTTCCTTGTCATGATGGAATGCAAAACCCTGTATGTGATATCATTCTCTATTGGAATAGAGGGATTCA